TCTGTACCAGTCACTGCTAAAACTACATGGGAAATATGCTGGGGAAAAGCACAGACACAAGGACAGCGTTGCTGCAGTCTGCGAGTGTATCCTGTTATCTGTTCTTCCTGGAAAGATGTTCAACACTGGATTAAAATAGCAATAAGGGGAGCTGTGCCTAGGAAACCATATAGTCTTCTGTTAGCTTCCTACACAATGCTGAGCAGAGGAGACTTCCCCTGAAGTTTTGCATGCTGCTGCTACTTATGTAATTTCTCTCTGCGTCAACGAGGCTTATATGGCTTTCCCAAGCATCACTGCCTGCTCTTCAGCGTCAGGGAGGGTGCTGGGGATGTAGCAGGGTGGAAAGGCTCCTTCAGGAAAGAGTGGAGAGCCTGAGAAATGGGAGTTGCTTTCAGCGGTACTGATCTGCAGGCTCAGCCTGTGCTCAGGGCGCTGGGGCAGCACAGCACTGGGTCCTTCTGCCCCACAGAGAGCAGGACAGGCTGGGCAGTGATACCCTGCAGGAGCGTGGGCAGTGCTCCACTCAAGGGAAAATACGCTGGGAAGCTGAGGTGAAATCTATTTTACTCATATTGGAGATACTTACACTGCAGTGTTGACTGTACAGCCATGTTGTGCTGGTGGGTCTGCCTTGCAAGTCAGAGGATATTTTGTGTAAGGGGGATTTAGGGCCCCTTGTGCAGATCTGGAGAGCAGCTCTTTAAAAAAACATCCTCAAGACTATTTCCCCCTTGCTTTTAAGGAAACAAAACGCAGACAATGAAACTCGATTTTGTTTCCAGGTTCCCTGACTGCCCAAGAGATAAGACCTATGGAGCCATCAGTGGCAGGCAAAGGCAAATACAGACATGGAGAGATCTGACTGACGAAGCTCATCCAGAAATGACAGCAAGGGAAATAAAGAGAGACTGGCTGAAGCTCTACCACAGACAGCAATATGGAGAGAAAGCAGGAAAGTGGTACCAGAAGGAAGACAAAAGGCAGGTAGGGAAATGTTTTAGGCAGAAGCGTAGGAAGAAACAAGGAAGGCTGTGCTAGCAAGAATAAGAGATATTCCCACTTTCTTGGTCTAAAAGGTCTATCCATATGTCAGTAAAGAGGTTACAATGGGTAGAGAAGTGACTTAGATGAGAGAGAGCGAGACAGAAGCTGTGCCAAAGCCTCATCCAGACGGAGCAGGAGATGGCCACAGCACAGGATAGGTAACAGATGCAAGGTCAGGGAACAGGGTCTTGACATGTTGACAGGAGAACAATACATCTGGGAACTGACTGTGTAGAAAGAAGGTGTTGAATGTGACTCAGAGGATATAATGATTTAGTAAATGCTTACGTTTAATTAAGTGAACAAGTACAAAATGTCAGAGACCTGTACCACCTCCATTCATTCCTTATTGTCCCAACTGTCCTTACTGTGACCTGTGGTCTGTGGTCAGACCATGAGTTTGGTGTTAATTATTGACTTTAGTGTTTAAGGCTGACCTTCCTAATGTGTGTTTACATAGTTTTTATAGTACATAACAGACTTTTCCCTTTCTGTTTATTCCATCTGATTTCGCTGTCACAGTCTCCCTTTCCCAGCTCTCTCAAAACCTGGGAGGGTAATTGAAAAACTAGTTACTAATTGTGGAAATCCTTGCCTTAGAGAGTTAGCAGCACTCTTAAAGTAAACGTTATTACATTGAAAGCTATGTGAAATCTCAGGAGGCCCAGAGACGTTTTCTCTGAAATTCTCTGCTCCAGTTTCAGGCAAAAAGTCCACTAATGCCTCAAAGGCAGGAGGGAGGGAAGGGAGCCAGCGTTCTCCAGCCATTTGATGTGACATCTCTGCTGGGGACAAGCGTTGCATCTCTGGTTGTCAAAACCCTGTCTCCTCCATCAGGGTCAAAACAGACCTACTTGCAGTTACACTGATGTGTGCAGAGCTTTTGCACACCTTCCCTCTGACACACAGCACACAAAAATACATATGAATAGAGCAACTGGGTTCCTTTGAAATCCTGCTGGCTTTAGTATTTTTATCTCACCTCTTAGCTGCACAGTCCCAGTAAACTGACAACGTTTTGACACGTCTCCCTTGGGAGATTAGTACCTACACAGCCAAAAGCAGGTAACAGATCTGGTAACACGCATGCAAATTGTTCACCACTTTCCTCCAGAAGGCCCCAGACTCAGCTGGTTTTTCTGACAGACGCTGGCAAGCTGCTGGCTTCACACCAGCCTCCTTCCCCAGCACTGTCCCAGTGGCATCAGGTACAGCAAGAACCAGTCTTGCCTGCCACAACCTGACAGCAAACAGCAAAGACACCAAACAGCGTGAGAAGCCTCCTCATTCGTGCCAGGGAGGTTTGCTTTGCCGCTCGTGAGAGTTATCTCCCCGATTTTCCCATGCTAAGTGCTGCATTCCTGCCCTCTAGATTAAAGTGTGTTTGTTTCATTTCCTGGAACTGAGCAGAATTGTTTAAAAACAAAGCTTCTATATTCCCACCACAAAACCTGCCCTAGGACGGGGTTTTACTTTGCCATTGCCCAAATCCCGCTGAGGAAAGTCACAATTCTGATGGGGGAAATAAAAGAAACAAGCTGTGAAGGTCCTCTCTGCATGCCACAAAATATAATAATAATTAAAAAAAAAAGAGAAATAAACCACAAGAGCAAAAGCGTGACAGTCCTCTCCTCCACAACCACCCAGATAACCTCAACCCTGTGTTTTTAGAGACCACAAATGATAAAATCACTTACTCCTCTCCTGCAAGTGCTATGCCAGTGGCTGTTACATCGAATAGATGCGAACCCCGTGCATGCAACCAATGTCCGACAGGACGAGTGACACAATACTTTAGTCTTATGTCTTTTGAGTACACAAAATCATATTTTACCAGGAAGTTTGGGGTAGCCTGAACGATTAATTGCTTCGTAATTACAAGAAGCAATCGTTGTTTATGAACGGGAGTCAGGCTGCTCAGCAACTGCATTAATCTCCTGCCAGGCAGCGCACAAACCTGATGCCCCTAAAGACGGCAAAAGGCCACGACAGTGATGTTTGACAGCGACAGCTCGGAGGTTCCCAGCACGGACAGGGAGCTGGGGTCCCGCAGCACAGCCGCGCCCGAGGCCCCCCGGCCGCACACCGCGTGGGTTCAGGTCTGGTGTGGGGGCCCAGGGGTGGGTTTGGGAGCTCAGGGAGAGGCGGCCGGCTGGGCGGAGGGCACCCGTCGGGGCTGCTGCGCCGCCGGCGGGGCGGGAGCGGGACGAGCGGCGAAGTTGTGTGAGGGCGCAGCGGCGGCCGGACAGCCCGCCCGGCTCCCCCCGGCACGGCTCCTTACCGATGTGCTCGATGAGGTTCCTCCACGAGTCGGCCGTCATGGGGTGTGCGGGCGGCGGCTCGGCGGTGCCGGCGGGGGTCTCCTCAGCGGCGGCGGGGGGGTTCCTGCGGGAGGCGGACGGGAGCCCTCAGAGCCGCGGCGGAAAGGCGGCGGGACAGCGGCCCCTCCGCCCGCCCGCGCCCTTCGCTCCCCCGCCCTCAGCCCCCCCTCACCTGCCGGGCTGTCCCGCCGAGCCGTCCTGGTCGAGGGCGCAGGCGGCGCTCAGGGCCGCGGCCAGCAGCTCCATGGCCGGCGGCGGCAGGGGGCTGCCCAGCAGCTCCGGCGGCGGCGGCGGCGTTGCGGGGCTGGGGGAGCCCGGGCGGTTGCCACGGTAACGGGGGTAGGAAGGCAGCAGCCTGCGCGGGAGGGAGAGGGGAATTGCGGCCGCCCCCGGGGCACCCCCGCAGCCCCCCGAGACCCTCTGAGCCCCGAAACCCCCTCAGAGCCTCTGCTTAGACACCCCCCACCCGAGACGCTGTGCCCCCAAGCCCCCTCAGAGCCTCACCGCTCCCCTCAGAGCTTCTCCTCAGACGCCCCCCCAGGCGTCCCCATGGCCCTCCCCCAAAATCTCTAGAGAGCCCCCTCAAATCCCCTCAGAGCCTCCCCTCAGACCCTCCGTCAGGCATCCACAGGGGCTCCCCACCAAAATCCCCTCAGAGCCTTCCGAAACCTCTTCAGCGACCCCCTCTGGCTCTCCCGCCAAAACCCCCACGCAGCTCCCTCAGAGCCTCCCCTCAGACCCCCCTCAGAGCCTCCCCACAGATTTTCCTCACAGAGACCCCCTCAAACTCCCCTCAGAGCCTCTTCTCGGGCTCCCACAAACCCCTCAGAGGCCCCCAGCCTCTTGCAGCCCCTCTCCTCGTTCCCAGATTTCCTCCGAGGCTCCACGGAGCTCTGCCAAATCCCAGCGGAGCTCCCTCAGCCTTCCCCAAATCCCTCCCGAGACCCCTCAGAGTCCGGCAGAGTTCCCAGCCCCGCTCCCTCGGAGCCCCTCAAACTCAGCCCTCTGAGCGCCCACCTGACCCCAGAGTTCCCCCACAGCCTCTCAGAGCCCCCTCTGCACACCCTTTCAGCGCCTCCAAAATCTTTTCCGAGCCCCCATAGACCCCTCAGGTGTCGTTGCTCCCCTCTCAGAGCCCCCAGCCCCTGCCCGGCACCCCAGCCCGCAGAGACCTCCTCAGCCCCCCGGCTCCCCTCCAGCGCTCCGGCACAGGTCCCTCCTCCGCCGGGAGGATGACTCCCTCCTCCCCAGGAGCCCCCCCAAAAGGCAGCAATCCCTGCCCCAGGGCCCCCCCACCTTCACAGGCACCCCTACCTCCATCCCCTCTGCGCTCCTGCACAGAGGTTGCTTCCTCAGATGCAGGGAAGCCCTTTTTCCATCCCCTCCCTTCTCCCCAGCAAGGCACCCTCCCCCAGCGAGCACCCACACACCCCATCCCACCCCATGCACCGGCCCCAGCCCTTTTACTCCATGCACGGCCACCCCACAGCGGGCAGGGGTCCTGCCCTGGCACTGACCTGTCCTCCCTCAGCCCCGGGGCGCAGCGCTGCCCCCCATCCCCTGCACCTCTCTGCCTATGTGCGCCTGGCGCCGGCTTTGAGGGAGAAAAAGGGGTGGGAGAGGGGGGCTCTCCTGAACTGCTTCCAGATCTGGTGCATATGGTGCATTTCTTCTCCAGGGGCGAAACCCTGAGATGGAGGAATGTAACTGGGAAACTCAGCCTAATCCCTCCTGCCGGGAAGTGCACCCCTGATTACCCCACAGGATTGGCCGCTATCTGCCTCTCCTCCTCCGGCGGGGCTTCGCACCCGATCGCTCATTTCTCCCGTCTCCCTTTCCTTAGCGCCGCTACTTCCATAAGGATATATTGCCTCGTTTAGGCAGTAAGTATCTCAATGATCTGTATCTCTCTTCGTTCAGGTAATTGTTTTTCCGCCTCAGGGATAAATCCTCTTGAGCTCCAGAGTACGGTTACACCCTCGGATCAGCTGGAGTGCTTGTGGACAGGTTGGGTGCAGCTCTTCCCTACACGTTAATAACTCTCGGCAAAAAAAACGTCATCTGCACCACATTGCAACCGAGGAGTTAACAGAGGGAAAGTGCTCAGCTATTCCTTGTGCTCGCTTTCTCCCTGTTGCATAAATAACCGTGATTTTTCTGTACATGGTAAGGTAATTTATGTAACAGCATAAAATCTGTGTATTGGTCTGTATGTGTAAAACGGTTTCCTTTTAAACATTTTTATATTGGTTTTGCTAAATCATATGCCAGGATAGCTTCTAATCAGTACATGATGTTATGTCCAGAAAAAGTCCTTCAGCTTATGTGAACTAGATCTTGATCTGGCACACTGGAAAGCTCAGTCATTAAGTCATTAAGAAGCAGAATGGGAAAGAAAAACAGCTGGAAATGTCATTGAAGGCTCAGAGAAGGCTGTGAGTCCAGTTCATGTCCAGTCCCGGAGCAGGAGGTTGGAAGGACCAGACAACCGAAAGGAAATACCAGGGTGAGGGTGAGAGCTGGAGCCTGCCTTGTGCTTAGAGAGGAGGAGGAGAGCCTGAGAGCTGGGGCTGAGACTGTCACTGGGTAGATGGTCAATATGGGATGACAGTGGGTTATCACCATTAAACGCTGGGGATTAGGGGGTTTAGGGAGAGAGGTGAGTGAGGGGGCGGCTAAAACCTTGTGGAAGGGATAAAGCAGCAGAGACTCTGCCTAACGACTGATGTTTTGGTGGTTTGCCGCTAGGGCAGGAATATTGTCAAGGGTTTTAGTGAGTGGGTGGGATGCTAAAAAGCTTCTTTCTTAGAAAAGAAGTGATCTTTAGTTATCCTGAAATCTGGAAAACCAGATATGCTGTTTACTCTTTTCTAAAGGGAAGGGCCAAGAGCAGTGGGGAGTTCTCTCTCATATGCAAAGGGAAATCAGTGCATAAGCTCTTACTGACACTGCTAGGATGAATATATATCTAAATATAACTTTTGAGTGTATTTACTAAGGAAAAAAACTCTTTCAGAAGTATGCTTTAAGAGTTTAACAGATTCTAACCCCTCACATTGCTTCACTCCGAAGGTTAAATATGTTGCAAATTGAAATTTCTTTTTAGAAAAAGTGCCTGGGTCATGCTATGAAAAACTTGCAGAAATAGAAAGCATCTTTTCATGATCCTATAACTGTCTGGTAATTTGATCCTGCCTGTCTTCCATTTCCTTCATTTCTTCCGACATAATTTCACTTTTGGTCCAAGATGAAAATCTGAAAATGTCACTGGAAGTACTAACGATAATAAAAACATCGGAAGCTCTGAAGAGGTGAGAACACCAGCTGCGAGTGAAATGCCCCCTGTGGCCATGGGAGGCCGCAGCTCGTATGTTCCTGTCTCAGAGAGCTCTTCCACTGAGTAGCAATGACCACTACTCTACTTTTCCTTCCTTTAGAACTTTTTCCTTTCTTAATTGCAATTTGGTCTTTCAAAGATGTTGTTCTTTCCTCCTTTCCAGCTTTATTCTTGTACTTTACGTTGACATACAGAGGATGGCCAGAAACAGAACGAGTGCGTGAGAAATGCTTTTTCTCTCAAGTGAAGTGACAGAGTGTTCCCAGTACTCTTGGGACTGGAATAAAAAGTGATATTTAGCAAGATGGAGATATTTTTGTCCTACAAAATGTCCTGGGATTTTCTAAATCGTGCTTTTCTGTTTGGAGACAAAACAAAGCTTTTAAAGTTTGTCGTGCAAACTAAAGGCAGGCAAACAAGTGATTCTGTCACAGGGGTCTGGTGACTGGGATATTCATGCTGGTCACAGAGGATCCAGGTCAGAGTCACGGCTGTGTCATTCCCTCACATCCCACATGCCTGTTCCAGGGTAGGTCAGTCTGTCTTCCTGCAGCTGCTCTGCTTTCTCTGGTCACTGGGAAAGGTGCTTCAACCTGGCAAATGCTTATTCACCAAATACCAAATACCAGTTTAGGTCAGTCAATACCGAACTATTTATGTGGAGCAGCTCCAACATAACTGCCCCTTTCTTCCTCCCTAGTTCCACAGTTGCTAGGACTTTGCATGCAGTTTAAGCTGATCTAGCTGCTCAATTCCACTTCTCCCTTGACCCCCTGAGGCAGATTTCTACCTCTGCTGTTATGCCAGCACTCACTCAAGTTTGTCTCGTTCTCAGTGAACAGGTTTGGGCAGCTAAACTCATGGAAAATGATTCATTTTTTTTGGTAGAACCAGCTTTGTGTGTATGGTGTCACTACAGGGCGAGCTCAAAGCGAGTGCCAGCAGAGCAGAGGTGGCAGACGTGCAGATGGATGGCAGGACCGTGGCACTGCCACCTTGGATCCTTTCACACTGCTGTGGAACAGCAGGCTCAGGCCTGGAGAAGTTCCTACTCCACCTAATCTTAACCATCGGGTAGGAGTTTGGAGGAGGTTTTCTTTTTTTCTCTCACTGTAAGAAAGAAGAATTTGATGCAGAGCCCAAAAAGCTTTCCCCCAGTTATCAAAATCAGTACAATCTCCTGATGACAAACCAGTTTTCTCACCAAAATCCCTTCAATTCATCCTAAAATTCCCTGTCCAGTTGTAGGGGGGAAAAAAGAATCTGATTACTAGAATAACAAAGCAACCAGTTGAAAATCCTATCCCAGCACTGCACAAGCAGTGCTGCATGCCCTGTGCTCTTGTTGGTGACAGAAGTCCCACAGTGCCCCAACAGACCAAATCCCAGTTCTGCCTCTGGAATCCTTAGGGTCCCGAAGCACACAGGCACTGGCAAAGCTCCCTGGTGGCCATGCTCTGTTGCCACAGGGCAGGACCATGGCTCAGCTCCCTGTGGGCAAAGGGAAGTGGGTTTGTTGCAGAGAAGGGGTTCGTGTGCTTCCAGACTGTTCCCAGCTTCACTGTGCTGCTGTTGGAAAAGATTCTAAAGGTTGGCTGACCTGGTCCATGGTTGTGTTAAAATGTGATAATTGGTGTGAGTTTATAATTAGTTTATTACCATTATCTCATTTAAGTTGTGCTTGGGGGATGAATTTCCAATCTTGGTTTGTATTTTCCGGCACTAGTAATTTTGAAAAATGAGTAATCATTTGAATTAAGGTTTATTATGTGCATTTCAACTCAAAAGCAATCCTTAGAATAAAGCTGTGCAAAGACCCTTGTTTTCAAATTAAATTGAAATGCATTTTTAAAATGTTCTCTTGTAGCAATTTTTAGAAATTAGACCTTCTCTTCTAGAAACTAAAAAGAGAAGAGGCAGTCCAGCAAATCGTATTCATGAAAAATTCCCCAAACCCTTCTAGTCAGTGGGAGTTTCACACCAAGAAAGGCCACAAGATGAGGTAAGAAGCACTGTTTTAATCTGAACTAACCAAATTTATGGAGAAGTGTGAAGTTAATAATAGATTTGAATAATGTTATACCTAGTCAAGGATATTTTCATACCTCAGGTTCATTCAGATTCCCTCTGTTCATGTGTGGTTTTTAGCAGTGATTTTGGCAATGGGTGTGTCTGTGCAGTTTTTGTTCCTGATTATGACTTTTTAACGGTAGATAAGCAGAACTCCTCATCCCCAGTATTTTTAGATCCTAAAGGATAAGAGCATATCTGTTCTCCTGAACCTCCTTAAGCTCTCATCAAAATACTTCAGTTATATCTGTTGGGGCTTACCAATAAGTAAAAATGTTCAGAAATTTCATTTATAAGATCCTTACCTTTAGGTGCTTCTAACCTTTTGGTGCTCATAATTATCAGGGTTATCTTTTTACTTACTGACCATTTGCCATAGACAAGTTAGTTTTTTATATATTAAAAGCAGTTAACAATTTATTAGACTTAGGAAAACATTATTGGATCACTACTAAAGGAAAACAGAAAACCTGTTGTTTTGTCCTTCCAAAAGCTGTGGTTTCTGTTGATATGCAAGTTGAGATTTTGAGGCTTTCCAGGATTGTGTTTTTGCCAGACTTAAGAAAATCCATAGCATTTAGGCCCTTTTCCACTCTCTGCAATAAACACAAGCTTCAGACTTAGAGTGTAGCACCTAAAATCCCTGGGCTGCTGCCCATGGAGAGAACACATCCTCTGCCGTGGGCTGAGACAATCATTTCTGATACTGGAGCTGTAAAAGCTGCCTGGTCCAGTTCCAGGCTCTGTGAATGAAGGCCTCTTTAGGTACAAATAAATATTTACAAATAAATATATAAACATACAAATAAAGACCTTTCTGCGGTATCCTCAGTGATCCTTGTGCTGGATCCAGTCAGTATGATGGGAAAACTACTTGACTGAAAAACAGAAGGGGCAAGACTCAAGCATGGGGAGGAAGAGGTCTACTTCTGGACCAGGAGACTGCTGTGAAGAGAGGAACTCACACACAGCTGGAGGCTTCAGGAAATGGTGAGTTGGAAAAGGCTGTAAAATTTGGCACTGGAGCTGGGAGGAGGGGTGGGATAATAAGATTGTATGAGCAGCCAAAGGGTGAAGAGCCTGGAGAACAACAGGACACTGAGATGTGAGCTGCAGGAGGGAAGAGAGAGGACTAATGTGCCTGAGGAACAGCAGGCTGAGGAAATTGTGTGGGGAATTACAAGGTGAAGCTGATAGAAAAGGAGTGAAACGAGGAGATTGACTGAGGAGCTGAGGAGTCCAGCTGAAGCAGATCAGACTGGGAGACATGGAGGGCAAAGCCTGGATCTTGCACAGTAATGAAAACATGACTAGCTCAAGAACCTGGCAAGCAGGGACTGTGTGGAATAGAGGGGCAGACTGGGATTGGGATCTCCTTTGGCTGCATGCTGGAAGGATGCTTCATTAGAACCGTGTATGTTATTGCTTGCTACTCTGTGTGATCCTGTGAAATATGAGATGTTGACAGTAATGACATTTTAATACCTACAGAGGCTATTTTTACTGGAAATTTACTAGTTTTTAAAATACTTCTCCCTGCAAATACAGTTGCCCTTAGACTGTTTAAGATGCAGATTGCACAGAAAGGGATAGAAAAAAAAAATCTGTCTCTATTCATTTACCTCTAAAAGAAGCAAAACGTTGTAGAGCGATGAGATGTAAAGATTTGCTCAACAGGTGTTTGCACCAGCTATTGCTGACTTCACCACTTGCATATTGAAGCACCATTGGCAGCACAGAGAAGAACTGACTGTAAGAAATGCATTTCATAAGCAGAAGGAAACTGCACAAGTTTCTAAGGCCTTTTGCAATCCAGCTCCCTGCCTCTCCAAAGGTTTTTCCTACTTTTCTGGTTAAATCAGGCTATAAAAGGAGTGCCCTCTGCTGCCCAGGACCAAGAGTGCTGGGCTAAGGGATGGTAACCCACACTCACAGGAGCACCTTTCAGAGTGCTATGCTATCTCACATGTGTACTGTTCCTCTCTAATACGTGTTTGCATGAATTCAAACAGGTTGGATTCCCTCTTGCTGCTGAAGGTGACTAGCTGTATTCACTGTGGTAGTACTTCCATTCTTTGAGCTCAGATCAAACATAATCAAATGATTTTTAGATGACCCTTGTTTCTCTGAATGGGACGTTTCATAAGCAGCGTAAAGAAACAGTTTGCTCTGCACTGGGAGACCCGTGATCTCACCATGAGCTTTGCAAAGTGAAATTTCACACTGAATTTCTCTTCCAATGTATCTCGTGGCCCATAATAAAAACATATCATTTTTGGAATCTGACTCGGTGGGAAATGGTAGGTAAATAATGCAGTCATGCTGCTAAAATATCTGTATTGTACTAGAAAGGAAGAAAAGTGAACATCCTATTAGCTGACAATATAAGGTAGACACTGATTAGTGAGTCTCCTTTCTAGGGTCTGCAATGACTAATTTTCTGGTCTCTGTGGGAGCTGCTTTCAGCTGGCAGTTGTGGATGGACACTGTGGGTGGATGTTTCTCTGTGGTGGCTTTCTGTGATCTCAGTCTGGAGCTGGCAGGACTGCTCACTGTGGGCAAGAGCAGCTTTTGTTGAGTTCAGTTCCTTCCAGGGCCTTGGCTCGGGTTGCTCTGGAAAGCAGGGGTTGTGCTGGGAGCTCAGCACTGAGATGCTCAGGGCAGGTCTGGTCATGGTGGGGGTTCAGATCTTTGTACAATGTGGAAGGCTGAGAGGGAGCCCTGGGGTGTTGTGGAGAACTCTAGAGTGCTTAGAGGGAGTTGGAGGTGGCACAGGAAAAAGATCATGGGGGGAAAAGCCACTTGAGCATAAAAATGCTCTTAGGAAGTATTTTATGGAGGGTGCGTGGCAGATTTTGGAACACCAGCAATAATGTTTGAGGAATCTTGTTTTCAAACATCAGTGTTCTGAGATCACTGAATTACTACTACTACTCTCAGAGCTTTGAAAGACACATAGATTTGAATCAAAGTCTGTGACAATTCCTTTTCCTGAGCTGTTTACTACGTTCCCCAGCTGTGTTTACCTCCTGCCCTGAATTATGCAGCATGGTTGTATGTGAAGTGACATCCCTACCTGTGAAGAACCCATTTGTGTCAGACCTGCTGGTTATCTTCATGCAAGGAGAAGGGATTGTGCCTGCCCAGCCCTAGCATTTAGATGGTTGCTGTGGGATGCTGCTGACTCTGAAGAGATGCAGCACTGCTGCCCCGCTTGCCCTCGGGGTGGTTCACTCCTCAGAACTCCATGGAGCTTTCCAGAGCTGACCAGAACTGCCAGCTTCTGCTTTCAGAAGAATGCTTTATTCTTCTGATTTATTCTTCTGGGGAGAGATTAAATGCATGTCTTGAGACTAGTGATAATATTTTTGATGTCTTATCTGCATAATGGCCTTTTTTCCAATAGGAGGGAGATAATAGGAATTACTGTAAGTAATGGTAACGTTCTTAGGCTCCTGCAGGCTTCCCCAATGCAGGTTTCTAGTGGTTCTGTTATAAATTACAGTTGACCTTTGGAGAAGGGCAGAGGACATGGGTTGAGTTTGAGCTGGAACTCTGGTTTCATTCTCTGTCAAATGTCTGTGCTCAGTCTCAAGAGAGCATCGATGCCGCTCAGCAGCACTGCCTGCTTTTAGCAGACACGTGACTTAGAACCTGTACTGACCTGTCAAGCTCTGCACAGCATCATCTTCGATAAACCTGACTCCCAGCACAGGCTCATTGTTTCCAGCTCCAGGGAGAATCAGGATTTGCACATTTCAGAGCTGCCTAAGTGCCGGTGTCAGGATGTCAGACACTGACTGTGACGATTATGCCGCGAGGAGAGGAAGACAGATGGGTTTGACATCACAGCAGACTGTGGCTGTCTATTTTCATCTGCTCAGTTTACGGCCAAAGGGCAATCAGTTTTAGCCAAAGCAATTAATTTATTTAAATCCAACTTGACGTTTGGCTAAAATTGTTTTACTGGAGTCCTCTCCGTAAGGAAAGGTGCCAAGGCACTAGACACCAACACAGCTGGTGTGGCATGATGCATACACCCTCAGAGGACAGGGGCTTAGTGCTTCCAGCCTGATCTTCCACAGTACCAGCAGGGACTATCTCACAGCTGTACACACCAGAGGTGAGTAGCTGGAGAGGGAGTCTGGGAGAATACCTCAGTCATATATGAAAATGTAAGGCCAGGTACATGCTCCTCTCTCTAGCTGGCTGCAGTGGCAATAGAGCAGGGCTGAGGGTAGATTTATGGGATGGATGTACCTTTACAGGTTGTGGGATCAGGGCCTTTTCCTGGACATTGGTTGTTGAGGGATTTAAAACAAAAAGGGCTCCCTCACTGAAAGCCTCTGTTGCTTCTCAGTTCTTCAAAGTAAACAGCAAACAGAAAGTCAGAATACCGTAGAAAACATCTTTGTAGCTACTTCTTCAGCTATAAAATCCTGTTTTCCATGTGGAGTTGTATAACAGGCTTCAGGAGAGCTCTCTATGAAGGCCAAGAATGGGATCACCCTGATGTTGGGATGTTCCACAAGAAAATGCCCACAGGCTCTCCTTATTCTCTTAACAAGCTGCTTAAGGCTGTCTGCCCACTTATACCACTGGATGATCCTGCTTCACATTCCCCTTTTCCCACCTTCCCTACTGTCTTCTTGTTGCCTCTTTTTCCTTCACTGTCTTCTCCAAACCCATATTGACATGACCCTTTATACTGTCACACTAATACTAAGCAATATGTATCATTAAGACTGAAAGCAGCACAAGTCAAGGTGAGAAGGCAGGGATCAGAGCTACAGTTTGTCCAGCTGTGCTTCCCCAGACAGCATTCCAGCTCTGACACCACTCTGACTGTAATTTTCAGTGGAAGCACAGTGAATTCCCTTCTTACCTTTGGATCCATAGTTCGTCTAACGTTGTCTTATCAGAGTTTGCTGGAGATGGTGATCCCTTATGAGATAAAACATTCAGAGGCTCTTTGACAGGCTCATTGTTTTTGAGTGAACCTGTGACATAAGAGAAAGCCAAGAGGGTGTTAAAACAGTTATTTTTTTAATTTACTTTTACTGTAGGCAGTGGTTCGCTCTACACCAAAGGCAACAGAAAGACCACAGACACAAAGGTGGTTACATTTTAGCTTCGATTTTCAAACAAGATCAAAGTGTCATCAGCTTGCACAGTGCAAGATGGTAACAGCCTTTGTCACAGCTGCAAATGCAACTGAGAAAAGGTGAAGTTGGATATAGGTGTCAGTTCTTACGTGTGTGAGTAGCACGCTCACCACTGCAAACTGGTCCCAACGTGAGTGATTTTCAGTGCAATCCACTGAGCAGAAAAGGTTTATCTGTGTGTGCCTGTGCATGCCAGTATTTGGTTTCCCAAGTCAAGGCTTCATGACTGCTCTGCTTTCAGGCATACAGTAGATGTTCAGTTTACTGGACAAATCAAGGTTAGATTTGGGTGAAACAGGAGCTTTACTTTTAATTGCTTCTCCAATTTCCCTCAGATGAACCTCTGATCCCTTCACAGGGAGCCAGAGTTGTATTAAGTCCATGGCTTACTACTGTAGTACTTGGCAGGAGAGGATGCATCTCACTTTTCAAATGAAACCTCCTGTTGTTTGAGGCTTGTTGATATATGGCCTTGTTGTTTTTTATTAGAAATATTTTGGTCTAAGGCATAATTCTGTTTGCATTTCAAACTGGTGACAGCACAGTCAGGTCAATGCTCTGACTGAGGCTGGTTTCTGATGCACCCTTTTAATCAATTTTCAGAGGGAAGGTGTGACATCCAGAATTTTAAAACTTGCTCAACTAGTGCCAAGGGCTTATGAAACAGTAGTTTGAGTTATTCACTTTGAATAATTTAAACACTTTATCCTTCTGTCCGAGGAGATTGCTTAAAAAAACCCCAACAACTGTTTTTCCAGTTAACGGAAAACATCTATTATGTTTTACAGCTCCTAGGCTATAAGCCAAAGCTGGGCTGGTGCAAAG